TGCAAAATTGCAAAAAGCGAAGGAGGATTCAGAGAAAGGTAGACATGTCATTTGGGGACTAGATAGCCCTCAGTGACTTAATCTGTCACTGAGGGCCAACAACTGATTTTTGTATGTTGTAATATGTTTCTGCTTTGCTATAAAAAGTTTCAGACACAGCTGAAATGAGGAACTGCGCCATGCATGTGGAATGTGTGAGACAGTGTGTAGAGCCATAATAGGTGATGATGGAAAGATTGAGGCTCAGGTCGGTATGCCAAAAAGTGAAGACACCGCACTTGACCTAAGAAATGAGAAACTGTGCCAAAGTTTAGTTTAGTTTTGGACATGATGGGGTGGAGACCGCAGAGCCTGAAAAGAAAAAGAAACTGTTGTTATGGTGAGATAAATAGGCAATGCGATGCCTTGAGAGCTCAGAGCTCACATGACTCTGTTTGCTCTTCCATGCGCATGGTAATTAAGGTGTTGATTGCAGCTAACCGTGTTTGCGGGCTTAATCAAAGTTCAATGACAGTAGTTCACAATCAACATGTTCATAGAGTACACTTATTGTAAGACAATCATGCACAAGCTCTCATGGGCCACATAAAATGACATGGCGGGCCTTGAGTTTGATACATGTGGTATAAACAGTCTGATTAAAAAACAACAAATGCGTGTGAAATATCACTGAAAATGGACAGAGTGACTTCCTATGGATGCACATAACTTAATTACCATTTAGACATTTAGATTGTATCATGTTATAGCAACATAACTGAATCCAACAAATTCTGGTTGCTGATGTCCATATAAATCTCACATGATTGAATTATTTTCATCTTGGAAAAAAAAATATTATTTAGTTCAAGTTATATTTTAGTTTCTTGTGAATGACAATGGGTAAACAAAGACCAGAGGCTCTTTTTTAACCCATTGGAGGAATATCAACACATGTCAGTGTTTACCATATTTATCATAGTAAACAAAAAAAAAATGAGGGAAGAAAATTAATCATTGTTTTGACCTGAAGTATCAGGGCCGTTGTGGATTCCTTTGTCATCTTGGACTTGAGAATTATCAATTATCAAGTCAAAGGAAACCTTTGTGTACTTTTGAGACCTGGGACATCAATGATCTCTGTTTCTGCCCAGGGGGCCAATTTGGACATAGTAGAGGAATATAAACACCTTGGAGTATTGTCATGATAAGCTTTGTGTGTCAGGCAGTGGTGGCTGGAATGGGTTTATTCCTGGGTCTACAGTTAAAGAACGAAACTGGGAAGGCAGATACTAAACAGACATCATTGTACAGAGGATTACCACAGGGCACACAGCAACACTGGACGAGGGGAGGCACAGATAATATATACAAGAGGGAATCAGGACAGAAAGGAAATACCTGGGGAACATAGCTGAACATGATCTAACTGTCACAGTCTGCTGAGACGGACCGTGTAGAGTGTGTGGAGTGTTTGAGGTAGATCCAAGAGCAGACACAGATAAGGAGACACAGACACACAGATACTGAATCTCAAACTGAAGACGAGCCTGTATTTGGGCCGAGAACAAGAGTGCAAAACAAAAGACATAACAAAAACCTAAACTGGAAAATACTAGAAATGTCTATGAGAAATGACTATTGGAAAATGACTATGAACAAGATTTTGTGCAGGTGCATGAAGAAACTATGAAATACATGAATTAGATAACATGAACATGACCTGCACAAAATCCTGAAAAAACACTTAACCTGACATGAGGGATGGAACACAGATGACATGACAATGAACAAAGTGACACTGAGGACTTAAATACACACATGAGGCGATCAGAGGAAGTGGAGACACATGAGGACAGCTGACTAAAATAAAACATAATGACGACACAGGGGAGAGTAAAACTAAACACTTTGTACAAGAAACACAAGACCTTTCAACACAAAACAAGAATCATAAAAATACAGATAAGACCATGATGGGTTTGTCTAGCACCAACCCACCACTGGAACGAGACAATTTTACTACAACAGCAAAGCAAGACGCAAGTCGGCAAAGTTCTTTGTATTGCTAGTGCACAAGGGAGACCCGACTGAAGTCGAGTGTTGTTCCGCCCACTTGACCTCCGTCGGACTCTCAGCCAGGTTCCCTGTAGCGCTCCTTCTGTTGTGGTTACATGAATATGCATAGGTTCATTAACATATGACATCTCACATAGGCGTACATGTGAACAAAGAATACCTTGTCTGTATGTCGTGTAGGTATGTATGTTTGTGTGTGTGTGTGTGGGGGGGCAAGATGTGACCCTGTGAATGACTTCCCTAAACTCTGGTGCCAGGAGTCCAGCGGTCCACCTAAACAACAGGCACTTATACTTAAACAGATACAGAGTACGTGTCCTCCTATAGTATAAATCAGGTACGACCTCTCTCATGACCTTAAGATCTGTGTGCCTCCCAGAGTACTCTGGGAGGCACACAGTCTTTGCAGACTGCTAAGGATCAGACATCTATCATTATGCAATCGATTATAAAACTCTAAGCATATAGAGTATATATTTCTAAGCATAAATGACAATCAACAATATAAACCTAACAGACCCGAACTTGACAACAAGAAAACACATGGCAGACATGAAACACATGAAGGCCAAGGGAGGCTAAAACACAAGGGGTGAAGACACAAAAAGACCTAACAAACAGAGAATGAAAGGCTGAGCAATTTAGGAGCTTAAGAAAACTAGATGAGCTTAACATAAACAAAATCCAAGAACTCTCAAGTCTTAACTAATAATTGCAAAAACCAGAACTTAACATTTCTTCCATACTAATAAGAAATACACAATACATCGTGAACTCAAAGCAGACGCAACAGTCACTCAGAGAACATAACAATAATGATTAACAAAGCCTCAAAAATACACTAATGCAAAAACACTCCAATAACCATCATAACAAGTACACAATGGCAATATATTGAACTGGATTAAAAACCCAACAGCAATGTAAAGGAAAAAAGCGTTGAAACAGATATAAGGTAAAATCATATTTCAAATATCATTCTACAATATATGTTAAAGGTATCTCAAAGCACTAAAGAAGCTAAAATATATGCAAAGACATTGCATTGTGTTAGCAGATCTTTGACAAGATGAACAAACAAAAATACCACGCCCCTCTAAACCCCTTTGTAAAAGCTGTGCATTACAAACTAACCTTGCAGTGACACATTAAAGGCACAATGAGGAACTCCGTTTTCATTTCTACTTGTTTTCTCTGCAGTCTCAGTAAGTATTGGTACCTTCTTAATCTTAAATTATAACTGCTACTGTTATAAAACAATAAATTAATTAAACCAAATAATCTGCTGTTGTTATCCTATTACACTAACTGTTCACTCAGATTATATGTATTCTTTTAGGCTGGATCTCTGTCTCAGGTTTTGAGTCTCAGACTGTGGAGGTCCAAGCTGGTAAAGAAGTCATACTTGAGTGCTCCAACAGTTCAAGTCTTCAAACATACACAGAGTGGTTCAGAATGGTCAACAAAACTACCAGCTGTATCTCCTCAATGTTTGGGTTTCATAGTCAAGCTTCGTTTTGTGCTGGATTTAAAAATGAAAAATTTAAAATGAGTTCCAACATCACCTATATCTTTCTTACAATCAAGAGGGCAAATATATCTGACGCTGGGCTGTATTTCTGTGGATTTTACATCAATAGACTTATAGTCTATTATAATGCAACAGAGTTAAGAATTCAAGGTAAGCTTCTGTTTTTTATGTTGATATGTAAAAATGTAGAAACTGAAATTAAGAGGTTTTTTTCTCTCTTAAAGATTTTACTTCTAAGTTTCATTTTCAAACTTAATATAGCAGAAATAACCACACTGAAATGTTTTCATCTTAATTATTTTAGAAGAGCCTGATAGTATGACACGTCTGATGAGCATCCTGGGTGGTCTGACTGGTTTACTCACTATAGTAGTCATTATTCTGGTTCTAAAAATGAAGAAACTTCAAACAGGTAAATTTAGCTATAAGGTGCTGCACTTCCTCTGATAAGGTGGTTGAGAAGTCATTTAGCCATTTAGCTGTGCTTGAGGAACTCCTTTCATTTTATTCTCTGGAAGATGGTCTCTGCAATTAGATTTAACTGAAAGGACAAAAAATCCGGTCTCATTGTGTTCTATATTCACATATACATTTCAGGCTGAGTTTTATGATTGTTTATTAATACTTTATTTTCTTTAGCTGAGGTTAAAGAAAATGAAAGATTCTATTTTATTCTTTCTTGAATTTTCACTTTGATGCCACAGACACTGTTGTTCATCAATGGCATGTTTAAATCCAATTTAAAATCATAGCATACAGTTTTCCTATGTGAGAAATGCTTTATTTTGTTTATTTCTTGAATGCAGTTCCTTAAGCACCACTAAATGGCTAAATGACTTCTCAACCACCCTATTATTTCCACCATTGAAAACCATTCTAAACCATCTTTGTAGTCATTCCCACTCCCACCACATTTTCCTATGATGTCACACTTACATTCTTAAATTTATAATGTATATAGTGATGTTTTTTACTGTTTGTAAGCTCATAAAAACTGATGAATGAATGAATGTGGAAATCAATAATAGTCAAAGGAAAATATGGCACACAGAAATAAAGTGTCACTGTGTGCAATTTAAATCTGTAAACTGATTGTAACATTTTGCTAACTTTAAAATTCATGTAGAATCAAGAGAAACTGTGAGTATAACAAAGCCTATAAACAACCATACTGTATATTCAAAAAAATGGGTACATATTCAAATTTGCAGTACTTTTTGAGTAGTTGAGTACTTTTGAAAAGTTTCAAGTATTTCTATTCAATATTTCTGGAAGCTAAAATATGTGCGAAGGTATTGCATTGTGCTGGCAGGTCATTGGCAGGATGGAAAACAAAAACACTCCGCCCCTCAAAGCCCATTTATAATTGCTGTGCTACAAACTATCTTTACAGTGACACATTAAACACATGATGAGGAGTTTCATCTTGATAACAGCTTTGTCTCTTTGCAGTCTCAGTAAGTACTGGCACCTTATTACTCTCAATATTACTCTCTTAGTTACTTTGATTAGCATTACTTACTTTGATTGATTAGATCACATTACATTAAAGTAAGTAAACCACATCTACTGATGTTACCCTGTTACAGTAACTGGCCATTGGGCTCAAACATATACTTCATGTTCTTTCATTTTAATCTGGAACTTTGTTTCAGGTTCTGAGTTTCAGATTGTGCAGGTCCAGCCGGGGGAAGAAGTTACACTGCGATGCTCAAAGATTTCTGGAAATCTAGTAGCGACGGGCTGGTTCAGAGTGATCAACAAAACTAAGCCCAGCTGTATTTCCTCTGTGATTGAATCTTGCAGTGAACCTTCATTCTGTTATGGATTTAAAAATGGACTCTTTGAAATGAGTTCAAATGTTACCTCTGTCTTTCTCAAAATAAAGCAAGTGAATATATCTGATGCTGGGCTGTACTTCTGTGGCTTTTACACAAGTGCACACACAGTATTTTCCAGTGCAACAGAGTTAAGAATCCAGCGTAAGCTTGATTTTTCTCTTTCAGTTCAGTTTGTACATCATATGTGGCACTGACATGGCTTAAAAACAAGAAATCGCAAAGTTGTCTTATCTCTGTTTTTCTTTAAGGTGGTGGCTCCAATGATACAGAAGATTTTAAAACTGAAAGTAAGATTTTTTTTATTTTTTTATTCTGCACATAATGTATAATGATATTTCTACAGCAACCAGATGGAAAAAGTTAAAACTAATTCTTTTTGTAGAAGGGCCTGATAGAGTTACATACCCGATGAGCATCATGCTGGGTGTTGTGACTGCTTTACTGACTATAGTGGTTGTTATTCTGGTTCTAAAAATCAGGAAACTTCAAACAGGTAAAATTGCTATATGTTGTTTCACTTATTCTTGTAAGCTGATTCGCAAGCCAGATCATGGCAGGTAATTAACTGTTTATTTGGAATTTTAGCTGCACATGATGAACTTCAGCCAGAAAGAAGCACGGTAAACCCCTTTTTTTCTTTCTTTCTTTTTTTATACATACGTTAACTGTATGCTGTGATTTAAAAGTTGCGTTTAAACATGCATTAAGGAGGGGTTAAAGTTAAAGTAGGAGGGAAACAAAAACTCAGAACTTCTTCTGAGCTCCAGTACATTTTCATGTAAATGCTGTGAATTGCTCACCTCTACTGCAATCCAATATTTACTGCTCCTTGTGGATTTAGCCAACTAAATTCAACAAGACATAAACAGATGTTTCACAAGCTTTATGGCTGATTTCCAACTACTAGACACTAAAAAGTTAGTATAAAATCTAAAATTTGGTGATTGAATCTGATCAGCATCATCACCAAAATTGAAATAGTTTGGACCACAGTTAACTTTATCAAACTGCGGAGTGCTGTTTTCCATGCAACTTTTGAATAATACAGAATTTGTATATTTCACTTTGTTTGGCAATTATTTAACAAAAACTCATGTATGGATCTGATATTTTATTTAAAAACACAAATAATTTTATAAAATCAGGACATAAATGCAATAATTGAATTTATAGTTTGTAAAATTTCACTTCCTCAACAGACCTTACGTTTGAAAATAACATCTCATCTTGCTCTCATGTCTTGTCTATTACAACTTTCTCCATTTCTGTGCCACAATTTTTTTTCACTCCCTGCTAAATACAGTAGCTGTACATTACCAGTTGGACACATTTTGTGACAAACTTTGCATAAACAGTTTGCATTTGGTAACATTTATTGAGCTGTTTGAAAATTTAAATTTGAAATTACCTGCCACATGAAAAAAAATAATTACTCCTCTTCTCTAGTGATAGCTAGATGCTGAAATAGTTCCACATTTTGTTTGTTTTTTTGGGTTTTTTTTTTTTTTGGGGGGGGGGGGGTGTTTAAATGAGTTGTATAAATGATACAGCATTTAAATATGATTTTCAGAATTTGAGCCCCGATGATTTGAATTATGCAGCTCTGAGTTTCCAGACAAAAGCCAAAAGAAGTTGGAGGCCTGCGACACAGAGAGAACTGGAGCCCCATGTTGTGTATGCCGCCACAAGATAGACTCAGCAAGTGGCTGGAAATGCACAGAATTGAGAATTTTAAAAGTTGAACTCATGATTTATGTTAATATGCTGATGTGTTTTTGTGCATGTGTGGCAGGTGTTAGGACACCTTGAAAAAAAACAAATAAATAAAATGTAATATACAGATTGTGTTTACATTCACTCTTTGCATCTCTGTGTCTTTCTTATTTATGCGACTTTGTTCTAAGAGGAAAAAGTCATACACTGAAAGGTGGTGATGGAGGAGGAGTCAAAAATGCCACAGACTGTCAGAGTTTAATGCCCTGATCTGCAAAGAATGAGGTACATGACAGGAAGAGAGAGAGCTCTGTGTGGTCTCAGTACAACTGAGGCAAAGATTATGCAGCTTCTAAAGTCAAAGTTCAGCTGCAGCCATAGAAGGCTGTGTTCCATTTGAAAGTGTCATCAGTCTATCTTGAATTCAAACCCTGCTTTGTTATAGCTGTTGATGACACACATACATACACACACATATATGTAATGCACTTTACCTAACCATGACAGTGCAACTTCACTGAAACCTTTAAAATATCTGGTATTTTAAAATTAATGACTAATTCATATTTTTCATTAAAGTAAAGTTTTAGAAGGCACTTTGCATTCATTTATTCGTTCATTCATTCATTCATTTTACCTTGTACCTTAAAATTTCATTGCAATTTCATGAATAAGATTTACCTGCTGCAGGCCTGATAGATAAACAGGTGGATGGTACATTCAGTGGCAGGTATAAATATTCACAGCCATCTTTTCATTTATATGCAAAAATCCTAATTAGATTTAGTTTGTATTCATGTTTTTAAACCAAATGTTGAATAAATCTATGATAGAATGGAGAGCAGGGTGGTCATTGCCTTTTCCCCAAGCATCCCAGAACAGAGCCCAGTCCCACCGTGACCCTGGGTTGCTACACGATTATAAAATAAAAGGACTGTTAATATAAATATTATATAAAAATCTGGTTATAATACAAATTCCGGGCAGCACGGGCACGGTGGTTGGCACTGTTGCCTCACAGCAAGAAGGCCCTGAGTTCAACTCCACCATCAGGCGAGGGTCTTTCTTTGCAAGACATGCAGTTAGTGGCGTTAGATTAATTGCCCATACATTCACACCCATGGGTGTGAATGTATGGGCAATACCCGGGTACGCGTCTATGTGTTAGCCCTGCTGGGGACCTGTCTAGGGTGTTCCCTCCCTCTCGCCCTATGACAGCTGGGATTGGCTTCAGCGCCCCCTGTGACCCTGAAAAAGATAAGCAGAAGTGAATGGATGGATAGATAATACAAATTCCTAGATATTTGTTAGATCCTGCAAGAGTAATAAGGGTGAGAAGACTTGGAAGAAAAATGCCATACTCTCTAGGACTAGGCTCACTATTTATGATGACTTAGACAAATAATGTAAATGTATGTTAGATTTGTCAAGGTTCGGTGGGTAGAAAGGGGAACCAAACACTGGACACTTCCAAGAGAAAACAGTGAATTTATTTAAAATGATTAATACAAAGAAACGGGCTGGTCTGGACCGGTGTCACCTGTGACACATGAAACACATTAGGAATTTTCATGTTGATTGAGGATTGATGATGGCTTGAATTTCACATGGACTGATGAGCCTTTTTTTTTTTTAACTCAGTCCTTAAAAGAACATACCTAGTGGACAACCACACCTTCTACCCGAACTTCTACCCTACTCAAATGGAGAAACTCCAGTAACCATCGAGGTTCTGTAGTTGTGGGCGTATTCCACCCACACCAACTGGTTGCTCCACGTGGTCTGGATGGAGGAGGCGCCGCACCACAGGACAGCTCCTGCTTGGCCCTCTCTGCTTGTCCATTAGTCTGGGGGAAACCTATGGACAAACTCACTTGGGCCCCGAGTTCGGAGCAAATCTCCCTCCACACTTGGGAAGTGAAGTGGGGCCCCCGATCAGAAACGATACCCTGAGGGATACCATGTAGACTGAAAACATGCTGGGTGAGAATTTTGGCAGTCTCCAAGGCAGTGGGCAGATTGGGGAATGCCACAAAAGGAGCTGCCTTGGAGAACCAGTCAGCAATAGTGAGGATTGTACACAGCAAATTCAAAAGTGTTAAATTTTTTGGTGTTAATAGTCTCCTTGCAAAAGTAGAGTTAATTTTACTCTAAGTAGAGTCACATTCTTTTAATGTAACTCTGAGGTGTAAAATGATAGTAGTTAAAATCGAGTGTTAAAAATGAGTGTTTCTCTGTCAAATCTGGAGGTGTTACAATGGAAACATTAACTCTTGACCTCTTAACTCTGAACTCCTAGAGGGGCTATGACACCAACAGAGTAAATTCACAGACTCCGCCCCCAGCACGGCTCCAATCGAAGCTGAAGTGAAGCCGTTTCAGAACATTTTGCTCTACATATTTGAGTTGTTTGCCATGCTTGGTAAGTCATTTTTTCAAAGATTGTTTCAATTTTATATGAGCTTTTACTTCTGTGGCTCTTTGGAGTTGAGACAAAGCTGTGTGAAAGGCATTAGCCATGTTGCTCGCTGATAGCATAATATTCTGTTTTAGCTAGCTGAAAGGTATTGTTTGCGGGCAAATACCACAGCCTTGAAAAAAAGCTTGCATGTGAATTTTCAGTCAAACTTTTGGTCAAATACACCTAAAACAATGTCTAGAATGTGAAATGTTGGTATAATGGTGCTACTTGAAGCCTGAAAACGATCGCCCATAAAAAAAAAAAAACGAGCAAACAGCAGTAGCAGACGTCCTGACTGGATTCTACGTTAGCATAGATCCCTCCAGAGTTTTGTGCACACGGTTTAGGTAAAAATGAAAAAGGTTGAGGTTTTACATTTAGTTCAGTATTACCTGTTGCCTGTGTCCTTGTCTTTTGGGAAAATACTTTACACAAGTAATGGCTCAAAGAGGATTCCTTTTTTTTTTACTGTGCTGCAATTGTTTACTGGATTATTTGTGCCATTAATTAGTGTCAACTAATTTTTATTCGAATCTCCGCACAGGATATGCTTGTGAAGATGGAATATGGGGGAGAGCAGAAGTGCGTTGAAGTTCCACAAAGGGATGAATGAAGGACATGCATATTGTATTGAAGAAATAAGTGATGAGATGCTGTTATTTGCATTTACCATGTCAGACCTTTTGATAAACAAATTCTAATGAAAGTGAGAACATGTATACTGTTACATCTTTCAGAAAATGTTTTGAAATTGTGGTGCACAGTTCAGAATAAATGTTTTTCAAAAACCATTGCATCTTTTTAGTAAATGTTTATTTCCAAAAGAAATTTCTAGAAGTTCAGAACAGTAAAATTCCCGCTTTTTAGAATGAATTAGAAGATAACTCTTACGTAGTTAAACTAAAATACTCTTTGAGAGTTAATATATAAACTCTTAACACCAAGTGTTAAATTATCAACTCCAGACAGATTTGGTGTTTAACACTAAATCAGAGTTAACGTACCAACTCTCCAAAAAGAGTTAAATTAACACTCTCTGGTGTGGACCCATATAGACACTTTAATAGTGTTGAAATCAAATCCGACAGTGTTAATTTGGACATGCTGGATTTGCTGTGTAGTGTTACTGCCAAGGGCGGGAGACCAGTCGTGACGTTCTAAGCAGTATGTGACCACGGCCATTTGGGAACGGGCAGTGGTCGAAACAGGCCTACAGGCGGGGTGTTCGGAATATTGTTCTCGGCACACACCAAACAGGCCGCCATGTACTCCTGAGTGTCTTTAATCAGAGAAGGGCACCAAAACATTTGTTGAAGAAATTGAACTATTTCTTCAACGAGGGCTCAATGGGTTTGGCCGCCACGATGCTAGGGGTAGCTGACTGTAAACAGTGTTCATGGCACCATGTACTGCGGCGGAAGATTCTACCTTCACCCCAATCTACCAGAGGGTTGTGTTGGTGGAGCCAAGGGTAACCTACCACCAGAGGAGTACCGGGCACTTTAAGCAGAAAGAAACTAATCATTTCTACGTGGTTTCCTGACAATGTTAGTTGAATCTCCTGGGTGCAGTGAATCATGTCAGCTGGCTGTATATCATTCAGAGCGGCAACATGTAAGGGTTCGGCAAGGGGAGCTAATGGAACCCTTAGGTTCTGAGCTAGGGCCTCATCTAAAAAACACTGCTTAGCCCAGGAGTCGATCAGAGAGTTGCATGAATCAATTAATGAGTGATAGGAATGTTAAGCTGGACATGATAGGTGGGGAGACACATTCCCAGTCGTGCCCGTCAGTACCCCCAGTTACTGACAAGCTAAGTCTTTTCTGAAGGACAAGCATCCACAAAGTGACCTTTCTGCCCACAGGCGAAACACTTTCCCACTTGACATCTTCTTCTGTGCCAAGAGGGGCTGAGCCGGGCCCTGCATGGGTTGTTCCTCCTCCTTATCATTCTGTTCAGTAGAATAGTAGAATGTAGAATGCTCTCCCCGCCTTCGCCATTCCATAGGTGGAGGCCTCGTCCACAATTTCCCGGACCTTTTACCATACTCATTGTGCTCAGTGCTGCTCCCTCATAGCACTGCTCTTTTATTGAGGTTACATGCCAAGATGTGACCCTATAAATGACTTCCCTAAACCTGCTGGCCTGAAAGTCCAGCAGTTCATCTAAACAAAAGGCAAAACAGATATACGTGTGTTCGTTATACCATATATCAGCAAGAGAAGATACGACCTCTCTCATGACCCTAGGAGGTGTGTGATCTATGCCAGAACACTCTGAAGAGGCGTGAACGCACTCCCCTCTTCACACTACACAGACTTGTTACAGACCCCCTAGGATGAGACATTCTTTCAATCTACAAATGAATATATACCTCTAAGAATATATGGTTATATATTTCTAAGCATAAATGACAATCCAACATATAAACCTAACAGGAACGCTCCCTGCAGAGGAAAATCCATCACGTTTCTCCGTCCCTGCTTCAGGGTGAACAGGTGGTGAGCCGCAGTGTCCTGGCTAGAAC